ATTTCAATTGCATTTGACATTTTTGCGCTTTTTCATATTACGATAAATTTAGTGTATTATGCACAACTTCAACCATGAGCGTATGGGCATTGCAATTGAGGCCAATCGCTTTGCCCGTGTATGTTACGAGGAAGCAATCAAGTATGCCCACAAACGCCGCACATTCGGCAAGAAACTTATTGAACATCCAGTCATCCGTAACAAACTTGCACATATGGCCAGGAAAATTGAAGCTACTCATGCATATATTGAGACAATGATTTATCAAGCAGAGACTCTCAAAGGTACAGAAGCTGCAACGAGATTGGGTGGGCCATTTGCATTGTTGAAGGCTCAGGCTACGCAGACGTTCGAGTATTGTGCAAGAGAAGCCGCACAGATTTTTGGAGGCTTGTCTTATACGCGTGGAGGGTATGTTTGTCTGTTATTAAAAGGGGAAGCACGAGAGATGGAGCATCATGGGCAAAGTTTGACCCTAATGCTAGCAGTGAACGCAATATAACCAATTTTTTTCCGTAACTTCTGTTCGTTACTAGACAAGGCGAGAAAGTCGAACGTCTTTACAGAGAAGTCCGTGCTTACGCTATCCCTGGTGGTTCTGAAGAGATTATGCTTGATCTTGGTATCAGGCAGTCGGTCAAGGTTGCTCAATTTTATGGTGCTAAACTATAGAAATCGGGTCTAATGTAAACGTGTGCTTTCTAGATAGGTTTAAGTTTTTACTTATTTATTAATAAATTTCTAAGAGTATTATTTAACTTTAGTCGAATATTGCTTCTCTTTTTATTGCATTATTCTCCTTACGACGTGTTACGTCTGAGCAGAACTATTCTGATTATCGTCAGCTTTGCTCTTCTTATCCCTCTTAGCCACAGAAGAGGAAGTTGATGATTCACTACCACCTTTGGTAGATGGTTTGTCGATGTATGTAAATTTACGAGAATCTAATTCAAGCGTAACTGGACCCTGTACATGATGAATTAGAGAAGATTAGAATATAACTTCTACGTAATGAATCTATTTTGCATGACTCACATCGTTAGCAATGTTCACGACCATCATTGCTCCAAAGACGCCATCTACACAAATTGAGTTTGGTATAGGATATGTTAGATAGTTGCAATCACCAAACACTTTATAGAAACCCGTTTTGTCAATTATCAAATAATGGTTTGCTAACCGTTTTTCTAAAGATTGAGATCGGGATAGCAAGTAGTTCTAAACTTGGAATGTTATTGCCAAAGACACGAAAAACTCTTTTTACCTTTTATCCGTTCGGGAACATATGCTTGTTTTAATCGCTCAAGAAATGTTTCATAAGTGTCTTTTGCCTGTGCGTTCTTCATGGCTCGATGGAAAGCGGGTTTATCTACCAAATGGTTTTAATTCTATGTTATAAACGCAAATGTCAGTCTACATAAGCAATTAAAATTTTTACTTTTTTCTACGCTCCCGTACAAAGTAAACTGAGATACTACAAATAGAGGAAAAGTTACATCTTGATGAATAACAGATAGTTGATTAAAAAGACAATTTTATATTCGCTAAAATTTAGGCGATTACCGCACAGTATTTCGAGTCCGGCATCCTTGACACTTCTTGCCCACATATTATCTCCCGCTTCGTTGTTGAATACCTTGACGTTGAGAATCTTCCTCACCATGTAATCCAAATCATCTGATGTATCATCTTGAGCGATACCCAAGAGTATACAAAGGCCTTGATTAATTGAGGAGACTTGGCAGCCATCGACTAACGCGTACAGGACCTTTTAGCAGACGAAATGAAAAATATATTCATACAATATCATTGGGACTACCTAATACGCTTGCGTTTAAGACTCTTTGGAGAACTGCTCGCATGTTGATTGAATTACAGCAACAATATAGCTCTTGCTTTCAAATTTGTATAATAATAAATTTATCAGTATAATCATGAAAAAGCAAGTCACATGGTAAAATCTTTCTCCGCAGATGCAGATACCCCTGACGATCAATCGATGTTGCTATAAATTCTAATGTTAGATCATTATCGTTTCCATCATTCACGATACTAATTATTGACACTCTTACTTGGTCTAATGGTTTTATTCGAGCTGTTAGGGTTAAATTCCCGTTGAGTTATCACGGAAGAAAGTTGTCAACGGTCGTTAATTCAGTAACTGCAAAAAAAATTAATATTAACGATATTTTATTAGTTGTTTAACTAGAAAAAAGTGATGTTTGCCGACTAGTCGAAACACTAAATCCCTATTTAAATATAGTATACAATTTTCCCTTCGATTCTGCGATATTATAATTGTTGTTATCGTTTTATCGTGTTTAGATACGAGTATCGTATAGGGAGTGAAAGCGAAGCGCGCATTAATATAATTATTGTCACTTATAATTTAGTTCAGTCTTAAGTGAGCAATTGTTGGAGTGAGGGCAGGGATACGAAAATCCTCCTCTCGGCAGAACACGCCTACGCAATTTATTTTCTTTCCCATTTAAAATTAGACGCCGACCGTAACAGTACAGTGTATTTGAAAAATTATATACATAATAATAATTCGAATACTAATACATAAAACTCAATTGTTTACAAAACAACTTGTATTGTGTAAAATATATACATAATAAGCTCACCATCAACTGGTTTATTTCTATTAAGGCTTTTGTTTCAATTTTTGTTTTTTTCAACAAACAATGACCCAAACATGCAAGTCATATTGCCATGGTATTCTTAAAGAAAAACGTGCCTGACGTTATGGGCTGGACATTCAACAGTCTAGGCCTGAACTTTATTGACATCTCTGGCATATTGTTAAGTAATAGAAAGAAAAATATCAAAAAGTCGGGTAGAGGAATGGAATAAAATATTATAATTAATTTGGTAGATTTCATAAGAGACAGATGTCATTTCGTGACGTAGATGAGGATTGTAACAATAATGATGAAATTTATCTGTATGCGCTTGATCTGCGAACGTTGAAACTTATATCGACTATCGGGAAGAAACTATTACAGAAGTGATACTTACAGATCAGGAGATCATAGACTTAGTCACACATAAAGTTGAACACGTGGAAGATGTAGGGGTGAACGATGTAGATGTAGACGAGGATGATAGTGCAGAAAGACGAAGGGTTACCCACAAGGAGGCGCTTAACTGTTTCGAAACGCTTTCACTATATTTTGTACAAGATAATGATGATGTCAGGAACGTGGATTAAGTAAGGTTGTAAGACGACTTGAGGACACTTCTCGGAAGCAAACAAGTATTAGGAGCGTTCTACAATGGTATATAATTGAGCGAGCGGCAAAGTAAAAATTTGGAATTGAAATTAATATCGTGTCTGTACAGGACCACCAACAAGCTAACCAAGTAAGTAGTTGTTTTATTTATTATTTGATAGTCCAGAATCCAAGCGACTGCTGCTTATTATAGTGAATAAGAATCTATAAACAATAGAATGTAAATAGAAGCAAGCAAAAAAATAAAAAAACGCAATTTTATACAGTATATAAAATTTTACACAAAAAAAACGCCAGCATGGGAGGCGGCAGATCTTATTTATTTCGCACTGACGAAATGCATCGCTAATGATGTGACGGTCCATATTCGGCAACCACACGTTCTATATTTTCAGCTTCAACAGAATAGATAATAAGATCGCGGCAATAAAGGTTGTAATATATTGAATAATCAGTCCGACTTTTTCGGCAATGCCTTCCTGAACATTCTTTTTAATGGTTTGCAGATAGTATATACTATGCGAAGATCGGTACTTAACGTCACGGTATAATTACTCTATAAGGAATAAATCCGATCCGGTTATATTGTGTTAATAATTTCCATCGCATCGCATCGTTATCGTAGTTAGTTATATTGTTCGTGTAACGATTCGGATATCATTTTATATTTTTAGACAAAGTCACATTATTAAGAATCGCTACTACTACTAATAATAATAATAATATTATTATTATTGTTTTGGTGTTTCAACTTTGAATATTATGAAAACTATTTTTCCTATAAAAATAACATGAGAGCGTGTTGAACTGTATCAATCGAAAAACTTACCAATTGACTTATTAACAATTACAAAACTATGAAACACTCAGTTTTCTTTCTATTCTTTGTCTTAGTTACAATTTCAGTAATTAATGCTATTCCTCATGGATTAAGTAAACGAGCTACTCAATTTAGTAAGTGCGATGATTTGGCATCGCCTCTCTCTGTATTTTTATCACCTGATCCTATGGTTTCTGGTCAAGACGTTACTTTCAGTCGTTCACTGGCAATGTCTGTGAACTTTCTAAACAATGTCCTATCACAAAAGATACCAAGTTTGACTTTCAGCTTACAATTAAACCGGAAAATTTGCCGTCTCTTTACACCACTATCGTCTTGATACGTGATTCCGAATACGAGCTGTTTTGCGCTAGCGCTAGCGCCAATTAAGTCTATCGACATATTCTAATAATTTTTATTAGAGAGTGTTATTTTCTTTCGTACATAGTACAGAATTCCCCCATATATACGGACATTTGGCAGTATTTACATAAACTGTTATAAATTCTTGAATAGAAATATTTTTAAGTTTCTGAAAAATGAAACATAAATCAAATTAGAGTGTGTTTTAATTAATATAGCTTTCTCTAGTAGTAGAGATATATCATGCATTAGTTACAGGTAATGCATCGGTCATCGTTTCTCTACAAAACATCTTACTATTACGGGTTTATACTCTAATATACTGCCAGCACTCATATGATAATATTCTATAATCTTCCTAATACATAATAAATTGTCTTTACTATCAAAATCAAGTTGTTCAAAGTTAAAACCATTGCACGGTTAATCCTGCCAACGAAGCCAATATCATTACCTTGAGACGGTGTTAACTTACTGGCATTGAAATTTTTAAAACGACTAGCAAGAAAGAAATATTCGCTATGCTGTAAACGTGCTAAAACCAATCTTTTTGTTATCAATGTGCTAACATAGAAAAGTTAACAACGGTGGGGCCGGAAATAATTGCCTTCAGATAATTGACAAATAATGTCTTTACTTTCAAGTATAGTCATCCTTTCGCTGAACGTGTTTTAATTCAGAATGGGTGCGTAGGGATAGCTATGAAATCGGTTCCAAGAAAAATGACTGCATTCCACCTTAATTCGTTACGTTCAATGAACTTCCCTACATTACCAAATTGGGAATGAATCACGTTTTGTTGGTCAGTTGATTGGATATTCAAATCTTTCACCAAAGGCAAAAAATTAATCGACGTTTACCGGCAAGGATGTGGTAGATACTAAAAGATTAATGTAATTAAATGTTTCCTGATTGAAGATACCCATTTGCAAATCTTTTCACGCAATGTTACTTGATAGAATCATTGTAGCCAAGCATTTATTAAAAGCATCTCAGAATGCTAAATTATTAAATCACATAACTAGCACTCCAGGATACGCTACCAGAAACCTCAGTTACCTATCAATCAAAAGCCCAAAAAATTATCCTGTATCATACTCTTCAGTGTCTAAATTTTCTACTATTTCTTTCATATATGTCAGATCATTTTCATCGACCTTGGCAGACCGCAAACGCGCCTCGCATGGACCCAAGATAAAAACAACTGCCCTTCCCGAACAAGATCCATCACGCTTATCTCATTCCGTTCTTCTCCGCGAAGCAATCTCTCGTAAGGATGCGCATTTGTCTTGGCTAGTTTACACCACCGAGAAGCGACGTGGTTTATCATACATCGACTATCGTGACTTGGCCAACTTATTGAAAGCACACGTAACTGCTAGTAAGGACGGCAACCTGATTAATACGCTTATTACGCAACTAGAAAAAATCTTATCCGATGTTAGGAGATCAAAACTCGTATATGACGTGGACGTCTTTAATTCTTTGCTGGTTTCTTATGCGCAGGATGAGAAATATTTTAGTCGTTTGGAATCACTATGGGAGGGTATGAAACGGGATAATGAATTGAGCATCAATACTTTAACGTGTTGCACTATCATCGATGCGTATGCTCGATATACGAATGATATTGGCAGATTGAAAGAGCAATACAAGACAATGAAAGAACATACACTGGATAGCGTGACGTATGCCAAGCTAATTAGTACATACGCGGCACTTGGAAGAATTGAGGATACTTCCGAGCTACTTAATGACTTGGAATCGTCTACGATTACACCAGAACCCCATGCATACAATGCTCTTATTCAGGGATACATACAAGAACATCAGGATATGGCCTCTGCTATGAACGTGTACCGTCGAATGATTAATAAGAATATAGTTCCTAATACGTATACTTTTACCTTGTTAATTAGGGGATACATGGACAGTCATGACATAACAGCAGCGTTAAACCTATTCCAATCGGAAATGATAGAAAAATACAACATCACCGTCGATATAGTCACAATGAACGTAATAATCGGTGGTTACATGAAATTAGCGACGACTGCACATGCCATTGGTGATATCAATGGCACAGAAGAAAATCTTAACAAGGCTCGCGATTGGTATTTGACTCTTCGAGGCATGGGAATGAATCCAACTGCCGTTACGTTCAATACATTAATCGGTGGTTTTGGCTCATGTGGCAAAATAGATGACGTGAACCTAACTGTTCGAGAAATGCAGAATCTCCACGTCATGCCGACTCTAATTACGTTCCATCATCTGGCCCAACTATATGGCGAGCTGTCCAACATCGATGGAATAAAACTAGTATGGGAGGATTTGACAAAATTAAAGATTGAGCCCAACGAGAGGACATTTGGCATCTTTATCAAGTCTGCCATCGCTGCTGGATCACCAAGTTTGGCAACAGAGTTTCTAAAGATATGCGAAAACTGGGCAGAAACTAACAACAAAATGTATATCTTTAAGAGAGTGTTAAAATACTCCCGTCAGGTTGGAACGGATAATAACAGATTTTTAAAATCAGTTAACGAGGTTTGGCAAAATGACGTACACAAGAACAAACAGTCGGGTTGATCATGAAAGAAGGAATGAACTGTCTACTTAGAACTCTTTATTTTTACCGCGTTGAAAAAGTTTGTTTATTATTTTTAATGTTTAAAAGCAATAATTGAGCAGTGAAGTAACAACATCAGTTACACCCTCAAGTGTTCCCTTGACTATCATTTGTAAATAGTTTGAATAACTCGGTGATATCATATTCTATTGTTTGTAAACAGTCTCTATTTGAAATTATTTTACTTATCAATTACAAAAAATAAGTCACTGTGTGATGACTTTAATAGCTGTGTACTACTGATCGAAGTCAAACAATTTCCTGGCCTTTTCAATAAAAATGTAATAATCGTCCAATTCTTGTTCACTTGCAACAGTTTTCTGCTCGCGTAGCCATATCCTCAAACCATCTGTGGCCTCGCATATTTCAGGAAATCTCTTCTTAATCATAACCAAGCCACCCAGCACTTTTTCCCGCGTATCGAATTTTATGTCCCTAGCATTTCCGGTCCCCTCTTCAAAAAGAGTGGCCTGGAAGACATCGCACCATTCACTCAGAATTCCCGTTTCCGGTAGAACCTTCATCCCGTCTCCTTGCTCTAAATACACCTTCTTATCTGATGCCATCATGTTCGGATCAAGCAGGTCCGTTACAAAAAGAGCACATTTAGCTCTATAGTCATCGCTTGTCGAGGACACGTATGTATCGATTAGAACAGATAGACCGTAATGACGTGCAAGGGATTCGGACGCGGATGAACTGCCACGAACTATGCTGGAAAGAGCGTAGAGAAAGCGAGATGCCACCTGTGCATTTCGTTCAGTAGATAGGAATTTCAAAAGAATTGCTATCAGGTTATGAGTTTGGGAAAGCGATTGAGCCTTGGGATTATTCTGCAGACCGGGAGATTAAAAAGGAGAATGAGAGGGGATTGTTAGATTGTGAGTTTAAATGTCAAAACCACACTATAGTCTTTTCCACGCAAAGTACCTGCATTGCGCTGCCCACTACAACTGCTGCCATTTTCTTAACCCTGTTCTCATCATGTTCGAATAATTTGACAATCAACTCTAAACCTTCTCCTTTTGCGAGTTTTATTCCAAACTCTAATTCATGTACCAAGTCCTCCAGCTCCTCTAAAGCTCCAAGCAATTCTTTCACGTCGATATTATCATTCTTTAAAATATTCACGTAATCATCAAACCGCTCATGTTCGGATAGTGGTATTTTCTTATTTGGTGAATGGTTATCAGTGTGATTTTGAGGAAGGTGTCCGTGGAAAGTGACTTTAGGACCAGCGACAGGCTGACTGGATGAGTTATTGTATGGAGAACTGTTTTCGGAATCAAGTTCAGCATTGGATATATCAATAGTTTGTACGTCCGTAACTGGAGAATTGTCGTTGAGTTTGGCATATTTCTTGCCAGTTTCCATGTTGATACGTACAAGCAAACCTAAATCATGAATGACGTGAAATTCTATTGAGGAGATGTAATTTTGTACGAAAATAATCCAAGATGTTATTTACCAGGAGGAATCTCTTGGTCAGGTCGTACTTCTTTATACTCTTCTGTTGCTTCGAATATTCTCGGATAGCATTCTCCATGGTTATTACAGATTTCTGGATCAGTGGTAACATCTGCTCGAGTCGTATGACTTAACAAAGCTAGCAGCAAAGCCAGTAAGAGAAGGCTCGATATATGATAGAGACGTTCGTACGGTTTCATGATGAATAACAGCTACCAAGCATCGATATAAGTCGTATCGTATATATTATTATTCGTTGACCACGTGTAGGAATGACAATGGTGCAAGCAAAGTGCCACATTACAGTCTGCATACTAGATTCTACGTGGTAGATAGATATTGGATCTTATAGATACTTACAAGTTTGCTATTTAGAGACTACAAAACGCTTTATCCGTTTGGCGTAGAAAATATTTAATCCGTTTCATAATAGGCAATTTCACTACCATCAATTTTTATATCTAAATCGGGATGCCAGCTTGCCCATTTTTATTATTATTATTTATATCCCAGGCGTTAATTAAATCATGCCTCGTATGAAGGAAAAAACGGAAAATATTAATACCGACTTTTGGTTATTAATAGTTTAACGGTTAGGCAGCAATGTCTTTGTTATACATGAGGTATAAAACAGTTATCAAACGGGCCTTTTGATGTCATCAAAACTCAAGAGTGTGCGTTTCGAATAATACAGCAGTATTATTGACGGCAAGTTTTGAGTTGGCATTTCAGAAAATAAAGTTCCCTCGATTTGCTTTAAAGACGGTCAGATGCCACTCGTTTTTAATCTTGGTGAAGATTAGGGTTAAGGTTAAGGTATTAACATTGCCTCAAGAAAATTTGTCAATAACTAATTGGCTAACCTAAAGGTACTATCGTGTAACAAAGGTTCAATTGATTTTATTACGCTCATTTACATTGGGCGAAGTCTATCGATCAATTGTGTCTAATAGTTGGTACTACGTATTACAATGCCGTCGTCTGGTCTGCTTGACCAAGATTATAATAATTCCTATTAAGCTTAGCTTAAAAAACAATATTGTCGAAAGTGCAATGTTGAAAATGGATGATGTAAATGATAAGAATAACGAATTAGAACCGATCGCGCGTGCTTGAATATTTAACCCTTGGATGATCAGTGATTGGTCGAGGGGGGTATGGTGGAAGCCTAGGGAAAGTATAAAAATAAGGCCTACAGCGAAAGTCAGTGGGGAATCATGGTAAGGTAGAATGGATGTTGTCTAAGGTTGAGGGGTGGGCAGATCTGTTCTACGCAAAAGATTTGACCGTCGTTACATAAATTTATTTCGACATAAGTATTGCTGTTACCATTTAAAAGCAGTTTTTACTGTTGTTAATGATAGCGCATTTAGATGAGGACCTTCCTCAGTACATGTATTACGTAGAATGAATATCTGTACTCAAAATATCAGTAGCGTGTGTGTGAGGATAAAACGTCAGTATCTCTTCAGAGTATGCAAATCGCGCATATCCACCATCATTGCTTAACGTAAAGCTTATGCCATCAATTGTCCACCTGGACAGTTCAACCACATCAACTATTGATAAAAGTCATAGCCTTTCCCAGGTGAACTAAATCAGGGAATGTTATTGTCAGCCTTTTCTCGCAAATAAGTTTGTTTGTGGGGAAAATATGTGAGAGATTATTACGCGAATAGCCCCGTCATATCGCGCAAAGTTGAAAACTGACAGAATACATATGTACTAAAGATTGACAAATATTCGAGGGGTCATGGACATGGAATCGTTGGATTCTTACTACAGACAAGTGAAAATGAATTTGTCATCGCTTGACGAGATATCTTATAATACTGCATACAAATGTTTACAATTTTATACGATTAAATTATTTTCAAAAAAGCGTATAGGAATACGATGGACGAAGTGAAAGAAGATTTAGCTTCCAATAACGAAGAGAAATGAGAAACATTTTATAAGTTAAACGATATAGTTGTGAAAGAAAGACGATGGAAATGTTGGTTTTGAGAAATCTGTATATTCAGTCACGAGTGTTCGGGCCACATTAAATTGGACCCCAGAAATTTTGGCCCCATATCTTTACATGCGCGTCTAATTGTGCGCGTAAATTTTCTCGGTTTCACTTTCTTGCGAATATGAACGAACAATCGCCTGCTGACCAGAATAATAAAAATGAAGATCGTTCTATTTGTAACATGTAAGCGTTTATATTGTGCTATGATATGATGAAATTAGTCTGAGCAAAGCGAGATCTGCTCAACAACGTTTACTGTTTTATAGGGATTTATTAAATGGCTTGTTAGCGGGCAGCGTTGAGCACTTGCAAAACTCTTTCAGTACCATTTATGCTGTAAGATTGTGTCTTTTCTGTCAATAGAAACCAACGTCGTTACACTTTATGCTCATATAATATATTAAACTTAGACCTTAGCCACGAATTTTCAAACTACGCTCGAAATGACGCAATCTATGAATGCCGTAATGGAACAACTACTCGTTTCGAACACCCGTATTTGTTCGTAGAAGAACTCGTCTTTATCAATTAGATTTTTATAATTATATGCGTGTTAATTGGAAATTTTTATCTTTTAGCATCAAATATTACCCAATTAGAACAATATGACGGAAACGAGGAATGCACGCCAATACCGCTCACCATTACCGTATCCAACTTGAGCAATCTACCCATCACAGATGCGTCATTTGACATTGTTTTTCAAAAGAAAGACATTGCGGAAGTAAGAGATTAGTCGAGTTTAATCTGGCCCTAGCGTTACGATGCAAGATTGTTTTCTAATTTGCCAAAAGCAGAATTTCAATGCAATTTGCCCTACTTATATGGGTTTAGACCGCATACGTAAACATAAACCATGCTGAATCGTTTCAAAAAGGATTACGCAAAAACTCGAGGTACACAACTTTTGATTTCTGAATCATGGTATTGCGCAAGTATACAATAGATTTGTTCCACTGTCTAATATAGGGAAGAGCGAAGAATGGAACCGCCAATTTTTGAACCAATGGCACGATGTAATATTCCACCACAAACACAGATTATTGAAAAGCTAATATTGCTGCCAATGCAAATTGCACAAGTATGTATCAAGTATATTGATTAACGAACGGCATAGTGTTTAATCAAACCTTGTCTTCTCTCTCGTGACATAATAGCTTAACTGTAAAGTAACTGTAACATTCGCAAGTCCCGGTACAGGAAAGTTACTCTATGTAGAGCACATTTTTGGCATTTATATAATTGATCAGGTACGGTAATAAACTATGCGCGAACGATAATGACACAAAGTGGTTTATCGAGCGAATTATAACTGACGTCTTTTCCATCACAGTGCAGGAAACAGATACAAAAAGCTCTACCGGCGCAGGAATTTGATTATACGTGTTCAGTGTCTCTACCAACGTCTTTGCTCCGGCAACTATGGAATGTTCACCCATGTGATGGCATAGATGAGAGTACAGTTTTCGAACTCGTAGCAAAAGAGGTGCGTTTGCCACTGGCCGTTTTTTTGGGAATCTTTTGTAATAATGCGTTAATAAGACCTTCAACAGTATGCAGAGGTTACCAGGGTGTATATTCAGATCTGCAGTTGGAACCAAAATAAGGCTATTGCGCATTGCCAAGTTCTGGTTTATGGAAGCCAGGAGATTTTTACCATGATCAAGAAAGAGTTGAGTGTATTATGCGAAGCGCAAGAGAATCTGATCGACTAGTGGAGATTGATCTGCGTAGAGGGATGAGAAAATAAAGATTCTTATCTATGTATAAAGTACACGCGATAAAATCAATCGTTTCGGGACCCCTGAGATTCTGATCATCCACTTAGGAATTTATAATGGGTACCCAATGAAAGATAAATAAAGAATGCTCTTCTCATTCTGCCAAATATGTCGCCCAAAGCACAAAGTGTTATACAGTTTATAGTAGAACGATTTAAGGATTTAAGCAGACAACGACGTTTTCCTTTAAAGCCACTAATAGTAGGCATCAGTGGAATTCAAGGCTGTGGTAAGTTATAGAGACGGATGGACTTGTGAAGTTTATTCGCATACTTACTTTCTCTATAAAACGTTTCAAGGTAAAACAACATTACTCTCCAACGTTGTCAGAAAACTCGATCAAGACCACAATTTGGCTGCTGTTTCGTTTTCAGCGGACGATTTCTATCATACTTATGAGAAACAAGTACAAATAAAATTAAACAATTCACAGAATCGTCTTCTTGAGATGCGTGGACTACCAGGCACGCATGATGTAGCTTTCTGTAGGGACACGTTTGCAGCATTATGTAAAGCTCAGTACGAATATGCTACTCATACTGGGGAAACAGAAACGAAAGCAAGTCCCGTACTTGTTCCAAAATACGACAAGTCACGTTACAACGGGAAAGGAGATCGCGTTCCTAAAGATCAGTGGCAAATGATATTACCACCCACTGATATTATACTATTTGATGGGTGGTTTCTTGGGTTTAGGCATATGCCTGATGAGGTTTTAAGCAGAATATACAATGATGCGTCACGCCGGCCCAATGGAGATAAAAAACCCTTATTCTTGTCTCATGCGTTATCGCATTTGTTAACAATCAATAACAATTTGAAAGAATACGAAGCAAGTTTATATCCATTTATTGACATATTCGTTCATATCGACACTAAAGACATTGAGCTTGTTTATAAATGGCGTCTTGAGCAAGAACACAGAATGATTGCGGAAGGGATGACCGGAATGACGGATATAGAAGTAAAGGAATTTGTGGATCGATATATGCCAGCATATGAGTTGTATCTTCCAAAATTACGAGAAACTAGTTTCTTTGAGCAAAATGGTCACAATTCTGAAGATGTCTCTGGAAGACATTTGAGGTTACTGATTGATGAAAACCGGGATAAAATTTCACAAGTAATTTTATGAAAATGTTCGGGTCATTACCCCGATCTTGGGAGTGGGGTCATGGTTTAATTAATCATGACTTTATGATTGACTCTCACATACAATGCTCTGAGATTTTAATTTACTTTTTTTAAAACATTAGTTTCAGACATGGATTGTAATTTAATTGTCGTAAATGTTCGTAAACGATTATTATGATCATAATAATAATTTACAATATACAGTAATATCAGTTTCATTTGTATCTGATAATATTGTTCAATAAAGTGGCGATAGATATAATTTTTGTGTTTTAGGTAAAGTTGTATGTTCCAACCACATGCGTTGGATATAAATAATTAGCTTTATAAAGAAAGGAAAAACTAACCCCAACTGAATTCTACTCTGCATTAAATTTCAACTCAATAGAGATAAATACACATCCTCAAACTCTAGCCCTTGTTTTATACAAACTTCTCTCCGTTCTCTAATACTTTGACTAATCCAGCAATCACCTTAGCCATGCCATCTCCCAATAAACCTCCTTTGGTTCCGGGAGTGCCGGTCTGTTCATGTTCTGCTTTCATGGCATCATCGATAAGTGTGGGTATCTTCAAGAAGATTTTCGCCAGTTGAAGGCTTAAACGGAGACGACCAAAAACGTCAAAGTACGAGAGCGCGCGTAGCTCTTGTTGGATGTCATAAAGGGTGATTAGTTCATATTGGACTATTTTTATGTACTTTTTGCCAGCTGGTATAAAGGTTATGAGAGAAAGAGTAGTCATGATTTAGTATTTAATGTTAATATCTCATAGACAGCATAATCGCTAATACCTGTCAAAACGTTGGATAATTACCTAAAAGTAGTTCTCTTATTCGCCCGAATACGTGTTCCATATTTTCAATCCAATCATCTCCGAGATTGAGATTCGGGTTCCCCTCATTCAAGGCATCTATGAACAAATAACGTCAGTCAGTTGCCGTAAACTTACCCTGATCTCATTCTCAAATGAACCTCGATCGATACTTACTAACTAGTGCTCTAATCATCTCAAAGTCACCATCCATGAATTCCAGGAACAACTGGTATAAGACTCCATGTAGTGTCTCGTCACCCATTCCATTAACCAAGCTCAAGTCGCTACATCCTGATATATCATAAGCACGTCGTGTTGATGGCTTGTTAAGCGTTTCGTATGCATAAGCCAATTCTGAAAAAAACGGACAAAGGCGAATGTTACATTGCGTGAGTACCGATTATTTAAAGTTTGTTATAGCATACGATCAGCCATTTTGGTCATATTCTAGTTATATAACTTTTGAAATGACTATCAGAAAAACAAACACCTCCTCCGTTCACCTCCTCCGTTCACCTCCTCCGTTCACCTCCTCCGTTCACCTCCTCCGTTCACCCTTCCACCTCTCATTATCCCCAACAACTAAATTAATTCCTTTTTTTTTTTTTTTACATACTCTGAAATGCTTCCGTTGCTTTTGGATATTCTGGGAATTTGTCCGGATGACAAATGCGAGATCTCTATATTCGGTAACATATTCAGATACGAAATCAGTAAGCTGAATTGTAAATCACATACTCGATACATTCCCATGCACTCACGCACCGAGATGTAGGCCTTCCTCAAGTCTTCTTGCACGGCAGTTCGTTCAACGCCTAGAATGCTGTACAAGTTTGTCTCTTTACATATCTCGTCGACCACCTTATACCTAGTCCCGCTGTCTATTGGTCGTCTAACTGAAGTGTTGTCATCTTCATTGTCTATAGCGTCATGAGATTGTGAGGGCAGAGACTCAAACACGGATTGTGTTGAAGGGGACATTGGAGGCTTGTGTTTGTGCTGTTTGTTTGTAGAAGTGTGCTTGTTGTCGGCCGGCTTCTTTGAATGTTTATTGTGGTTGGTATGTGTTTGGTTTTGGGATTCGTGTGCAGGAGGCTTGGGATTAAAGTAGTTGTATATAAACATTAGGAGATCACGATAAGCGAGAAGAAGAGAATCAGAGTTGTTAGTGTTTAATTTTCATTAGGATAAATAATGAGATAGAGGCAGTAATAGCATCAAAGGGATGTGTGGAGTACCAGGAGAGTGGCTGGTGATATTTAAGTAAACAAAATACCACATACCACTAAATATGCGGAACGAATCTAGTTTAATCGAGTTTGCGAGCTAAGAAAACAACCAACTTCCAAGTCAATCAGAATGTTGGCTATTCCAGAGATGTTTGTCGACCACTTTGTTGAATACGCGCGCTGGTGAGGTTGATGGCCCTTAAATGATGGATATGCGCTGGTTGCTGGCGTATCTCGGGTGTTTTGAATTCACATGTTAGTTTCTGCTTGTACCTACTTTTTCACGTGACGTCAGCCCTGTATTTGCATACTTTGCATGTTGATACACCATCTCGGTAGGCAACAAGATTCTTTGCTTGGGAAATCCTACCTATTTCTGGATGGGTATTAAAGAGCAAAGTACAGCATATGACGAATTTGTTCACAGATAAACATAAAAAGTTTCCTTTAATATCATTAAAACTGCTATGCAATTATGTGTTATACTGGTTTTCTCTTCTTATAAATAAGTGCTGTAAATGTGTAGCTGATTCTTAGAATTTGAGTCTCGGCCCTTATAGCTAACGGTAGCTGGAAAAGTACTACTGTCTTGAAATCTGCTATGAAATCGTCCTAAACCGAAATAACAGTTTAGATTTTGTAAAGTGTACAAGTGCCCCCGATAATGATGGGTAATTTGCACATAATGTTATTCGAAATTTGTGTATAGTAATAAGCATGTTCTTGTAGCAACTTTTCCTCTTGACATTTAGCATTTCTTCATAAACACTAATTGAATTTAGCGTATGAAACCAACATTTTAGGCTCTTAGCGGCAACTCAAACCGCACACTATTATTATATCTGCCAAATATTTGGAAAATTAAAATTATGTTACTTCAACCCGTCATTATTTGAAATTAATTAAGTTAAGCGTGCGGAGTGCAAATAGACAGTTTTATCTGATTAAAGCCCCATTGTTTTGGCTTTAATAATAAACAGACGCATCTATTTAATTACAGAAACGTGTCTGTTGGTAAGTTCAAGGATTAAACATTTTGACATTTTGACATTTTGCATTTCTATTACTGATTTCGCTTTACGTAAAAGCGTACTGATCGGGACAATATGAATGCCTAAATGTTGGTCACTTCATTTGCAGACACCAAATGCTCAAAAGTCACCGCACATTTTGCCTGGTAGGGTTATGCTTGTAATAGTAACGAATATGCGATTAAATGTACCGATTCTTAAGATGATGATTTTGTGACAAACCAGATTAGCAGTCATAGTATGCGCGACGATGTAAGAATACAATGTTATCATGATTTGGTTCGTTTCGTATAATCTTGTGGACGTGTTGAACGTCAATTATCTTTAATCTTTCATTTGCTTTTCCTATTTACGTTTTTTTGAACAGTCCGCGTGTTGAACGCTTTTAGAAAAGTTTAAATACAAACGACGTGTTGAACGTCATAAGTTGACAAATTTTAGTACAATGCAACCTGTTGAATGTTGCAATTAAGTTTTCATCTAACAAAGTTCAATTAAATAAACCTGAGGATCAGTTGAATTATCCCCAATTATAATTACAAGAAAAAAATTGAATATCGCTGTCTTGTTGAAATACATCGATTATGAAAAAAGCACTAAGAGTATTGAGATGCTACGTAAGATACCTTAGTAGCGATAATGTTCAGGCTACAAATAAATAGATTATAAAGCATTAGTATAAACTCTTTTACAAAGATCGTGCTTTAAGCATCCACCAGTTGGTCTTCTCACACATACCTTGAATGGGCCTGCCTTGCTAATTCCTAAATACTTCTCTTGTTCGTCACTCAAGACCGTCAATTTCACGCCCAACTTATCCAAATGTAGCCTAGCCACTTCCTCGTCCAATTTTTTGGGTAACATATGGACTCCGAGAGGATAATTCTGAGCATCTGTCCATAGGGCAATCTGGGCAAGTACCTGATTTGTAAAACTATTGCTCATTACGAAACTTGGGTGTCCTGTTGCGCATCCCAAATTAACCAATCGTCCCTGTGCGAGAAGAATCACATGGTTTCCACCTTTAACTTTGTATCGGTCGACTTGTGGTTTGATGTTTTCATGAGATTCAGAGTTTTCTTTGAGCCAGGCAACATCAATCTCCACATCAAAATGGCCGATATTGCAAACTATGCTGTCCTCGGGCATTTTGGCAAAATGTTTGCCGGTTATGATGTCCCGGTTACCAGTCGCGGTTACGTAAATGTTGCCTATTGAACAGGCATCTTCCATTGTTGTTACCTGATAACCTGGCAAAATCAAAACACAAAAGTTGGCACACCGTTGTATTAAAGAGCAAAGCGATAGACATCTCCAACATTGAATTCCATTCTTGTCCCCTACCTTCCATGGCAGCTTGTAAAGCGTTAATAGGGTCGATTTCCGTTATTATAACTCGTGCACCCATTCCTCTCAATGCGACTGCGCACCCCTTTCCTACATCTCCATATCCGGCAACGACAGCGACCTTTCCGGCAATCTGCACATCAGTTGCTCTCTTGATTCCATCAATCAAGCTTTCTCGACATCCGTAGAGATTGTCGAATTTCGACTTTGTGACAGAGTCATTGACATTGATGGCAGGAACCTTGAGTTTACCCTCCTTGAGCATTTGATATAAATGATGTACACCAGTCGTTGTCTCTTCTGATATTCCTTTGATTTCGGTAAGATATTGAGGATATTTATCGTGTACCAACGCAGTTAAATCCCCGCCGTCATCAAGAATCAAATTCAAAGGTTTGTTATCCTTGAACGCAGACAACGTCTGCTCGATACACCAGATGTATTCGTCTTCCGTCTCGCCCTTCCACGCAAATACTGGAACTCCAGTCTCGGCAATAGCAGCAGCAGCATGGTCCTGAGTGGAAAAAATATTACACGAACTCCAAGCGACTTCTGCTCCGAGGGCGAGGAGCGTTTCTATGAGGACAGCGGTTTGAATGGTCATGTGCAAACAGCCAGCAATACGCGCACCAGTTAGCGGTTTGGAGGGGCCGTACTTTGCGCGGAGGGACATGAGACCGGGCATTTCATTTTCTGCCAGACGTATTTCTTTTCTACCCCATGCGGCGAGAGAGATATCTGCAACCTTATATTGTGGCATTTTTCTTTTCTTTGGATTTTTTCCTCAAAGACGTAAAGGATGAAAAATTTTCAAGATGATTTGACTGGGGTATAAAAGCAAATTTACGTGTAACCCGCAATTATAACGAGCTTGCTTATTCTAATTACCGCGTGCCAATCAGAAGGGGGAAAACTCGCGCTTGGGGCATAATATTAGCGATAGTAATGTCAATGATGTTCATATGAACCTCCCCCCCTTAACTTTTAACATTAAATTCTCGTAATACAACAATACGTTTCGATCACTTAGTGGGGCTTGCTTATGCCAACTGTAAACATAGCAACACAAGTTCAGGGGGGATGGACACAATTATTATATTTGTTGCAAAGTAATTAGATACAAAGACCATACTAATACTGTTTTATCCAGGATAATAAAAGACACGTTTTACGAGTTGACACAAATGATCTAGGCATTCAGAATGTAAACGCGTTACAACAAATTACAAATAAACAATAAAGCGTCATCGGAATGTAGCACTAGAAGAAAATGTTCGAACCAAAGGCTGCGAACGTGTATAAAACCTATCCGCATCTAAGGGTCGATTGTGTTTATAATGTTCGGATAACATAACAGAAACCCAAGAAATAGTTTAGTAGAACTTGTTTCTTAAAACTAATTCTCAACACAGATAAACAGCTATTCCACTTGGATCATAACCAGTCATGAACGAACGTACACCTGGATCTAGAGTAACCCTTCCTAAGATATTGTATATTGATTAATATAAAAATATGACATGCGACTGGAAGTAATCAACTTCTCCGCTGTCCCTCAGACTCGCCTGTTCTTAATGTAATTTATGGCCAAGCAATGCATTTTTTATACGAGTATTTAGTATTAATTATAAACTATTGAACGCATTGTTTAGCACATGAATAACACGCATACTAACAGCTATAACCCTAGATCACACGAGACTACACTATACTACACGTCTTTTTATTATAGAATCTTTATGCTTTTATATGACAGTCTTGTCTTTAATGTCAGTTACAAACAAGTAATCATTGTACGCTTGCTCGATTTCATTGCAGCTTCTAATTTATGAATGTGCATCCGAGCTGTCCATATTTTAAAAAAAAGCAGATTTATTTTATAGAAAAGTCGCGATACTAAAAGCAGGCAAGAAACATCTCTCATAATGTAAAACTAATTTACAAATCGTGGTACCGAAACCGATGCCACGAGGTTTTCTACCAAATTCTAAAGCGTAACCTTAATATGTACATACATAAACCATTCCGGACGGTTTGATCACGCATTGCCAATTCTAGTTTATGGTTTCAACCCAAATTTTAACCCAAAGCCTAAATTTCGAAACAATCGTCTATTCGTTTGAGCCAAGATATTATTATAAGACAATGACAAACCATTACTGTCTTCCGCATATTTTCATTCAAAAAAGGGAGATTTCTCCTCCCCAATATGGCCACCAGAATAATGGGCTGTAATGGAAAACCGGTTACCAAATTGTCCGATTCGCCCCTTTGTAAGATCCCGCGTGATACAAAGACATCAGTAAGTGTAGTTATTTTAGGATATTCCATTTATTGAGAATACAAATAAGGGATAATACATATCCAATACCTGTTTGCCTATGCAATGACTTGCCACACAAAAGATGGAGTGAATCGGCAAACTTTAAATTTGAAATGGGCCGTTTGCAAAGAACCGCTAAGACGTCTGTATAATTGTCTGTGTAATATCTTGTGGAAAGTTTGCAAATTATCTAGAACCAATAGAAATTGACAATGCAAGTGCAACGATTGTACCAAAAATAAAATAGCAGTCCGATTCTGTATGACCTTATCGAGTTTCACAGTTATCCGCACTATAAGAATCCCATTATCGACCATGCAGTCCTGTGTCAAACAGAAAAAAGTAAAGATATGAAAACTCTACGCTCTAGACCTAGAGTACCATCGTTGTTTCGCACCGTAGCCATAGTCCTTTTCCTGGCTTTTGTTCTTTCTATATTTCATTTTGCTAACATACGTTCCGGTCACTCACCGCGTCCTAATCCTAAACCAGACCCGGAACCGGAACTGCCGACTGGTAAAGTACAGCCCATTTGGTGATAATTGGGGTCTAGAACGCCTCGAATATATAATAGCAAAAGAAAATATGAATTTTGTAGTCGGTCTGCAAAAACTGATGACGAAAATCTACTTTCGATTCGTTTACAGAAAATAATTTCACAAATGAAGACGTTGAAGGCCTGACTTCTCGCATAAGAGTTCTCGTTCCGAAAGGTGGTCATACGTTCCAACAACTAAAGCAACTAGAATCGACCTGGAAACCCAAGACGAATGCCACCGCCCCACTAACCGTAATAATCCTCTATGTGAGTGAGCACGGCCTCGAACGTCAGCTTAGATCCATCGCTGAACAGTCCGCTAGACCAAGGGCAGTATGGATTATAACTCCCGATAACGCGGCCAAAGCTGCTGCAAACAGAGTTGTAAGAGGGTTGGGCAATGACCCAGTAATTGTACATACTACAGAAGACGATCATCTCGGGCCATTCGCTTGGCTTAAATTGGCTCAACATGTGACGACTGAACATATAGTGCTACTAGATAACGGCGTGGTCCCTGGTTTGAATTATTTTGCCAACATGCTTCGTGTTGCAAACGTACCAGTTTACAGTGGCGCTGTCATTGGCTCAATGGGCACTGTTATTAGCAAAGAACAGAATTTACGCTTGACCTGTTTCTTTGATCATACGCATGGAGATCGTCCTAACCACGACGGAGGCACGGACTCTATTCTTCCAGAAAAATCTCGACCGGTTGACATGATTAATCACGTCTGGTTCCTTAGGAAACAGTGGATATCGTTATTACTCAAAGAGAATAGGCCGGACGCTTACAAACTGCCCTTGAGCTTCTTTATAAGTTTCGCACTCAAATATCAGGCAAACATCCCCTCTTTTGTAATACCCACCGCTCTAACCGATGCCAACTCATGGGGGGATGTAAGACATGGTCCCATACAGGGTGCTACTTGTGGTATATTAAAACGTGAATTAGCAACCAATGTTGTGTGGAAAAAGTATCTGGATCGTGGATATCCATTAGTTACGCAACAGAAAATCTGGAATCAGGTGACAACAAGAGTAGCAACATTTGCAATTGACGGTATTCGCCAAGCCAGAGCTCTTGTCCCGCTAATATGTAAAATGTCACGCGTAAGAGAAACTGACACTCACGTAGTTGTGACGGGCATAGGTCGTGGACTAGATAGAGGCGAGATGAAGAAATTAATCGATAAGCATTCATCTTTGTGTAGTAGTATCAACATTTACGATCTAGACGTTCTTGATGGACCCCACTTTGGACTGCCAGTTGAAGATATTGTTAATATTGTTACTCAGATCGAACATGGACTTACTCGCATTATGCAGTATACTAAGCCGCAAGTTATTATTTATATCAAAGAAGAAGAAGAAGATAGCTATGGTACACAAGGGTTCGCAGAAGCAGCAAGTAAATTTGCAGAGTCTGCTGGAATTATAGCGATTCCATCTACGCACATACCTCATGTTATGTGGATACCGGATCTGCCGATAAGGGCTCTCAAACGTAAGTAAAGAGAAACATATGAATGATGTCATTGCATTCAGTATTTCGTTCTAATTTGTCCTTACTTAACTCCTTTATAGAATGGAATACACCCCAAGTGCAAGTGCATATAATAACTCAAAAACGCGTAGAATCTCTCAAACGCCTAATGAAGTCCGTCGCGACCGCTTATTACCTGGGCGATAAAGTATCGCTTACCATAAATATGGATAGATCTGCAGATCAACCAACCATTGAATATTCCCGAGCATTTAAGTGGCTACATGGAGAGAAACATGTTCATTTCCGTGTTGTCCAAGGAGGTCTTCTTCCGGCAGTAGCCGAAGCTTATTATCCAGCGCATGACGAAGATTATGGTGTAGTTCTCGAAGATGACGTGGAGCTTTCTCCCTTTTGGTACGTCTGGACGAAATATACTATACTCAAATATCGTCATGCAACAGCCAGAGAAGTAACACAGAGAATGTTTGGTGTGAGCTTTTACGGACAAAAGGCGATGGAACTTCCCCTGCCCGGCCGAATATATTTCTCCCCAGACCAAGCGCTTGAGGGATATCCATTCCCGAGCCGAACTCCGTATTTATGTCAGGTACCCTGTAGTTGGGGGGCAGTTTATTTCCCCGAGATATGGCGGGAATTCCATGACTATCTTCTCGTTCGTATAGAAGATTGGAATACGCTTAAATTCCAGAATGTGACTATTCCGTGGAGCAGATCTAACAAATGGCGAGCATCGTGGAAGAAATTCTTGATTGAATTGACGTATCTGCGTGGATATGTTATGTTGTATCCTAATTTCGAAGAGTTTGCCAGTTTCTCCAACAATCATGCCGAGATTGGAGAGCATATGCATCTCAAACCTGGGAAAGTATATAATGTAACCATATTCCAAGTACCTCTTATGCAAAACGACGTTATTCTTCAGCAATTGCCAAAGGGCAGCCTACCTTCGTATAAAGAATTGCCGATATTGGATCTGTGGGGAAATGTTACTTCCTCAGATGAGATCATAGAAAGAGGAAACGCATTACATGCGAACATTTCACTTTGTTCTATTCCCGACGAATTAACGTATGATCCTCAAGATCTGTTGTGTATTGACGAGGATGAGAAAGCTCGTGTTATTGAGGAGGCGAGAATTCAAGCTAAGAAAGAAGCAAGGATGTACAGGAAGTTTAAGGCCGAACTTCTTGCAAAAGCAAGCGCAACTGTTAAACATGAACCATCACCAACAACGACTTCTGAGCAGAGCACGAATACCGTTATTCTCGAGGATGTTGATGTTGATGTTGATTAAACTATAGAGTAATTCAGTTGTAAATATATTATTAATTTAGTCCCATAGATATTGAGAGCGCGTTAGTAATAAAAATAATATGGAGAATATAATTGTGATCGTTTCTTTTCCCATTGGCCAGGTTAGTGATTTACAATGTTGATAGCACGAGTGTTATTGTGTATTGTTATCACCTGGCTGCTTATCATCAACTGTTTATGGATCGACGAGATACCCCCCTGTTGTAAATGATCATCATCAGGGAGCGTTTCAAGTTACAGTCATCCCTCATTTGTATCCCCCCCCTATTGTATCCCACCCTCGGATATAACCCATCTTTCACGCTGGACGG